TTCTAAGTCTACACTAGTGTTCTTAAACACTCTCTTTTCACCACTATGTTCTCATCCTCTGCCCTACATCTTGCCTATCCCTGCTTCAAAAAAGCAGGGACCATCAGACTTTCTCTTTCTTAACTTTGGATACCCTTTGAAGAACTATAAATTTTATATTCATCTTAAAATGCCTTTCCACCAGTTGCAAGGGGCAAGGTGCCTATTGAATTGTTAAAACCCATCCTCCTGTGCTATTGACCACATCCTCTCCCAGCACTTTTAGAATATTGCTTCATCAGTCATTTTCTCTTTTTAATCTTTTCAAATTTGCCCTCTCTACCATCTCCCTTTGCTCAGTTGTCACAGAGGGTCATTGTTAGGTAAAAATTGACCCCATGACACCAAACTACAATAACAATATAGATTATTTACTCCCTTTTTCAGCTAAGGAATGGGGGTAACAACCTTTGGGAATATGACGTGACTAAGGTAGTACTTGACATAGTAATCAGTCAACAAGTGCCATTTTTCCTGATGATGTTTATCACTAATGAGGAGAATGTGGGAATTTATTTGGTCTAATGTTTCTTATTGTGAGACTTGAACTACATAATCTACAATTTTCCTTCCAGCTCTAAAAATTTTCTTTTTCTAAGCAACATTTCATGTTTTAGACAGATTTAAATAATAGATATGTATGTATTTCTTGATATGTCACATTTGTAGACCTGGAAAAATAGATAATTAATTAGATAATCATACCCTTACAGATTGAAGAAAAACAGTTTCAGGCTTTAGAACATCATTTGTTAGTGATTTGAACTTTGTAATAAAGTGTGAAGAACAACTTTGCTCCACTAATCACTGTCACACTATCTGTACCAGAGCTAAGGTTGGAGGTAAGTAAGGAAGTTCTGAGGAGGTTGTTTAGCAGCATTGTTGTTGTTGTTGTTAGGTGTTGTCGAGTCGTTTCCGACTCATAGTGACCCCATGCACAGCAGAACGATACACTGCCCGATCCCGCGCCAGCTCCACAATCCTTGCTATACTTGAGCCCATTGTCACAGCCACCGTGTAAATCCATCTTGTTGAAGGCTTTCCCCTCCTTTATCGACCCTCCACCTTACCAAGCATGACATCCTTCTCCAGGGAATGGTCCCCTCTGACAACATGACCAAAGTAGGTGAGATGAAGTCTGGCCATC